CTTCTTTAATATCATCCTCTGAGAATTGTGTGTTCTCAGATGCCCATTTCTGGATTGGGTCTTTAAATTTTGGGGCCCTAGTGTTTTTTAGTTCTTTATAAATTCTAGAGAGCAGACTTTTTTCTGAGTACTTATTTGTCGTGATTTTTTCCAAATTTATGGGTTGTCTTTTCACTTTGTTGGTAATTTCTTTTGATGTGAAAATTTTCTCAGTACGAGCAGGTCCCCTTTGTTAATTCTTTCAGGTGTTTCCCGTGTGATTTGATTTTCATTCATGAACTCTCTGCCTACCCCAGTGGCTTCAACATTTCCTCCTACTTTCTCTTCCAGGAGATTTAGTGTCTCTGTTTTAATGTTTAGATCTTTAATCCATTTTGACTTTAGCTAAGTGCATGATGACAGACCTGGGTCAAGTTTTATTTTTTCTCATGTAGAGAGCCAGTTTTTCCAGCACCATTTGTTAAAGAGGCTATCTTTCTTCCAGTGAATATTTTTGGCCCATTTATCAAAGACACGGTGGCTGAGTGTGTTCCTAGGGGCTTCAGCATCTTCTAATCTATTCCATTGATCCTCAGGTCTATTTCATTGCCAGTACCATGGTGATTTTATCACAGTAGCCTTATACTATTATTTCAAGTCATGAATTATAATGCCTCCTGCATTGTCTTTATTGCCCAGGATTGCCTTTGGTATTCTAGGTCTTTTCTGGTTCCAAATAAATTTTAGAAATGATTTCTCTAGCTCTGTGAGGTATGTTGGTGATAGCCTGATAAGTATTGCATTAAATCTGTACAGCAATTTTGGGAGTATGGCCATCTTCACAATTTTGGTTCTTCCTATGCCAGAGCAGGGAATATTTTTCCATTTTCTGAAATGCTCTACAAAATCTTTTTTCAGAGTACTGTAATTTTCCTTGAAAAGATCTTGGACTTCTTTAGTTAGATTATTCCAAGGTATTTCATTTTCCTCGGTGCTATTATAAAAGGTATTGTTTCTACAATTTCCTGCTCAGTGTGTTTGTTATCTGTGTAGAGGAATGCTTTTGACTTCTGGATATTGAATTTGTAACCTACTATGCTACTGAATTTCTGTATTAATTCTAGTA